AAAAAAAATATTGTGTTTTAGAATCAAGTCAAGAATGGCACAGATTTGAGGAGAAAACCATTATATTTTTAAAGAAAAAGGAGTATACTGATGGTCACTATTTTGAACTAAACAGGGGAAAATATTGATGTATTAAAATAAAATAGTTTACCTCCAATTGGCCAGTGTTTATTAAGTACACAATAGAGCTAATACATTCACTTGGCAAAGGAAAGTCTCCTCCACTTCTCCAGTTGACACAGCAATGCATTGCAATCAGTATGCTCAGGTGGTGCGACCGGCGCTGCCAGACTTTGATGTCCTTGCTGTGTTTGTGTTGGCCAGCCATGCTGTCCCAGCACAGACCACAGATGTGTCTTCAAGCTGTAAGGTGAGGAGCAATGCTCCTGGGTAACATGTCCAGTTGTAAAGAATGACCTGACAGAGGGAGTAGCCTGGACAGGGGAGGCCAAATGTAGCCAAAGCACACAGACACATGGTGGAAGTCAGTAAGTAGGGCGGTAATATACTGCATTTATAGTTATTAATTATTATCTTTAGTGGTTTTAAAACTGCATGCCTCGTAAGATTAACTGTTATCAAAGCTGTTCACCCTGTCACACTAATCCCTACAAGGGCTGGACTCTGACGGAGGCCGAGGAGTTGGGTGGCAAAGCAGGAGTAGAAACAAACAGACAAGGAAATACCTCAGGGACTTTGTGGGATTGGGAAAGAGGTAAGATGGTACCTGTAGTGAAATCCCTTCCAAATCTACACCAGGTGTTGGGCATTAAGGGGAGCATCTCCGCTCTGACTTTCTATGTCTGGCTCAATCACACAGGGCAGCGTGTCAGATGTTGGACAAAACAGATAGTCTCCAAGAAGATGAAGGTGAAGAAGGGGAGGGAGAAGTCCTGAAAGTCATTAAGGTGCAGGAAAGAATGAACTCAGGAGGTAAAAGTAAATCTTTACAGTGTCTAATAAAAACGTGAGGGTAATTTCATTATTTTTGCCATGATTTTCATCAGCTCATGACATTCAAATAATCAATTACATGTGAAATGAGTCTACTGAGAATACAATACACTGAGAAGCCAGTAGGAGAAGAATAAAATACAGGAGGCAGTGCTGAACACTTTGGAGTTTAATGAGTTCAGATAGATTAAGAATGCCATTTCAAGAGAACGGGCCCAAGACAACTCCCTGTGTGATGATACAAAGCAGAGTACACTATTATTGTGTAAGTATTTGAACTCGTACTTTCATCCCGCTACTTCAGTACCTGCAGAGTCAGAAAACGTAAAGCCACGCTGCACAATTGTTACAATTCATACATGACAAAGGAAAAACAAGGAGGCGATAGGACAATGTTTAAATGTATCACAGGCATCGGAGAGGAAACCTAACACCTGAGTGTTGGGAGATGGAGAATGCGACTGGGCACGTGTGGAATGCTGAGTTGCAAGAGGAAAACGGCAATCTAAATTTCTAATGCTGAGGATGTTTCCCATTTTGTGTTTATGAAACATGGCTGCCGGGATTACAGCGGTAAGAGGATACGGCATCAAAGTCTGCCCCGACAAAACAGAAAGGCAACAATGCTGCAGTGGAATGCACGACAGAACATAATACTCCACCTCCTCCTCTGCTCTCCACTGAGCAGTCTCATTTGATTACAGTGTGGCAGGCCCCAAATCAACCCCTTAGTCCCATATTTGCTCTCCACTAGGGCTGGGAGAAGGAGGTAGAACACGGCTTGCCAAAGTGGCCAAGTACGAGGGGAGGAAAGGTGATGTTGTGGAGAAGGATCCTTCATTAGAGGAACAAAAGAACATGGAAAAGGGTGAGCCGAGGTGTCGCATCCAGGGTGGGAAGAAATTGTTGACCCGTGCGCGGCGGCTGAGGCAGAGACTGCATGTCTGATGACTGCGAGGCACCGTATCGTTTACAGGCTCTCTCAGCAGAATCCCCTCACATGTCCATCTCCAGCCACACAGTGTGCCCTCTACTTAAGGCAACAAGAGTCAGGCTCAGCATTACAAGCCTATTAAAAGATACTTTTAATTACGCCGCGCTCTCTCGGGATCACTTCTTTGATGAACTCTGTGTTTCTTTGGCATGTGCACTTAGGAATGGCACAACCAGAAGCATGTGTTGTTTTCTCCCTCCAATTAAAGGGCATGTTGACAGATTAAGGCTGCTTCTGGTGTGTGCTCCACTAACACATTTAGGGAAGATCGGGAACAAGGAGGGGCAGGAGAGTTAGGGGGTCACAGGAGAGAGAAAGGGAGAGAGAGATAGAGAGAGAGAGAAAAGGAAGAGGGAAAAAAGGGGGGAACAAACATGCTGAGGAACCCTAAGGGATTAATGTGTTTACATTACCTGGGCTGTGATCTATCACCAACCTCGTCAACTTCTATTATACATCACATACATAAGCAGGCTACAGACCTGGGAGCCTGTGCAACTCACTCACACTACGTCTATTGGATTATGCCAGTGCAATTATCCAGGGCACGACGCCCACACTGTGGTTTTAGCATCCTGGTAGTCATTTGATTTGAACGTTGTATCACTTTACCTTTATGAAGGTGTTGCAGCAGTAACTCCTACATGCCTCGGGAGCTTTTGAGGACTAGGGGATTTAGATCATTATCATACAGAATCCATAGCACCTTCTAAACCAAACACGGAATTATCTGTAGGTCTGCTTAGACAACAGTCGGGCACAGGATCCCACAGATCATGAATCAGATTATACAGGTGAGAGGAATCGGGGAGTGTTAACTCAGTGAATTTGCCATCTGTGATTCTCTAACATGAGGACGGTTTGTCCCAGCTGTAGCAGCAGATCTGTGTTGTGAATAAACCAGTCAGATGGAGAAGCCTGGCATCGCTGTGTAAATGATAACAGGGGGAGAATGTTGTAGCAGCAGCAGCAGCAGCAGCAGCAGGGCCTCTGAAAGAGCTCATATTCACACTCAGGCTTCATTATATCCAATCAATATTCATTTAGTCACAGAGACTATTGACTCATTTCTGAAACAATATTACTGGTCATTTGTCTTGTCATGGAGACAGGAGAAGGATCCTCTTTACACCATTCACCACCGGAGACAGGAAAGTGAAGTGAGTCTGCAATATATATGTATATATATATATATAAGATAGAACGCTGAAAGAAAAAATAATCAATGAGTGCTTCCTGTGATCCATCCCTAGCAAATCAATCATCATCTGCGCAGCTGGCAGTGTGCTGCAGGAGGACGGCCTGTTGGTGAGTGAGGCTTGCAGTCTTTGTCTGACACCTCTCATTTTGGAATCACTTCTCATAATAGGGTCATCATTTCATCACTTAGCCAATCCAGAGGCAGGCCAGTCAGGCTTGCAGGTACCCTGGTAGAGTAGGAGGGGGGGTCCCATCAGGAGTAAACTGAACTGAATGAACACACACACTCCATACATCTTCATTCAGGTCAATAATAATAAGAAAAAGGTTATTATTTCTCCTGAAAGCATGTGTGCTTTATCTGAATTGTATTTTTTTCCTACAATGTTTTGCTTTATTAAATGTAAAATGTGTATCAGTTTAAAAAAAATGTAATTTGTAAGTGCCTTGTTTACATTGGGGAGATTACAAAAATTACAAGCTGAGTCTCGTTAGAAAAATACAGTTGGTATTGAAAGTTTATGTTTATTAATTACCCAGTAATCTGAAAATCAGGACACAATGATATACAGTGTCTTCTTCTTCTGTAGGTGTGTGTGTGCGTGAGTGTGTGTTGGCGCTTGGTGACATGAAAAGACATCCTCAACTGTCAACATGGATCTGAATAAATTAAAACAAAAATACAAAGGTACATTTTTTATTTATTTGAATATGTACAGCAGTCACTTCACTTCAGCAGAAATAAAAAAAAAGTCTGGTAATAAATAATACAATGACTGTCAATGTTAAGTGCATTAATAAAAAAGAATAAATAAATGAAAGCCAAAATTACTGATGTCATAATTATTACTTTAATTAAAACGGCTAATCACAGCCGTATAGAAGCTCAGTTGTTTCATTAAATAGCATGGGGCACATATGTTTAATCATATAATAACCCCCCCCCCCCGCCTTAAAAATGCAAGGTCAAAAATAAATTATATCCATTATTCGCAGCATATCTCCCCAAAGCATTTAGAGCGAAAACTGTTTTGAATTTCAATTGGCTTCCAAGTGGCAAAAGCCCACAGCTAATACATCAAAGAAATATTGGTGTCAACTAATCGGTTTAGGACACAGATTTGGAATGGTTAAAAATCCCATGAAGACTCGAAGCATTTTTCTATATTCCGCTGGAGCCCGCGAGCGCTGCAGCTGACCTTGTGCGCTCCAGAAACCTGTCCGCCACGACATTAACTGGCTGTTTAACGCACCCAGCCAACGCAATTAGAGCGCTACGACGCATAATGTTGTGTAATAAAAGATTCTATATCCAATTTAGATTACGCTCGCTCCCTGGGGCGTTTGAAAAGACACGCGCCATCTTTCATTCTCCTCCTCCTCTTCTTCTTCTTTTTATTTGTTTATTTATTTATTTTATTTTATTATTTTATTTTACCGTATGTGTTGTGTAAAGCCGTCTCGGGGTGCGTCAAAACCCGGTGAAAGAAAAAGAAGGAACACTAACGAAGAAGAAATGTCAAAGTTAGAAGCGATCAAAGGATAATAAGAAATTTTTTTTAAAAAAGAAGAAGAAATGCGCATTTTTACACAGTTCTTTGACATGTCGCATAAAATCAGTCCACTTTTACGCACGCTTTGCTAAATTGGTTAAATAAACACACACACACACACACACACACTCTGAGTTCTACTCACCCACACCTTCCTTCAGTGCAGAGCTGACTGTTGGCAGCAGTTGCCATAACCTGCTCCTATCCTGCGATAGACTCCGTGATCTCAGATCACGGGTCCTCCTCCACCTCCTCCCCCTCCTCCTCCTCCTCCTCCTCCACCTCCACCCCCTCCTCCTCCTCCTCCTCTTACTGCTGCTCTTGCCGCTTCTCCCGAGAGCAACTTTGCACCGAGAACACATGACTCAGGACACAGGGCAGCCAGTCTCTGTTTACTGTGTCAACGTCTTATAAACAACTCAGCACTAAACAGGCGCAGTTGGCAAGAACACACAACTGAATCAAAAAAACAAACAAACTTATTTTATACCACACGGTGACGTATAAATAACAAGGCTGTGTACAATAATGATGTGTATGAGTTCAACATTTTAGTATTTTGATGCCTATCGATATAAACAGCGAGTATTGATAAAACTTCATCCCTCCGTGCTCTCTCTTCCTTTCTCTCTCTCTCCCACTGTACCGGCGTCGTCATCACTCCTCTCTCTGCCTCTCTCTCTCTCCCTCTCTCCCTCTGGAGGTTTTTAGAGCGTAAAGGAACACTTGAGTGTGTGTGTGTAAGAGAGAGACAGTGGGAGAGAGAGAGAGAGAAAGAGAGAGAGTGCACACACTCTTTTAGCAGCGCCTACAGCGATCCCTTTCGGCTTATCTGAGACCTGAACTGGAAAGTCAATCACAGAGTGAAAAACAACTCTAACATGGGCCATTTAAAACACACTGTAAATACACTAAATTGTTAAGGAGCCCGTTAATGTTTCTTTAAGCCTGTTGTGTATCCGCAAGCCGGATACACAAGTATTTACGAGATTTATAGCCTATTTATTCATTCTATAATAATAATAATTATAATTAGTATTATTATTGATTATTATTATTAATATTATTATTTTTATATTACCGTATTGTTAATGCTCATTATTATTTTGTTATCAGATGAAAAAAATGATTTTTTTTTAAATATCGTATAACAAAGAAATAAATGAAACACATTCAGAATATTCCAGCAAACAGACGTATCTGCAGTCATTAAATGAGATTACATGCCCTGGTCCAAGCGGATTTGGTGTTAGTTGGCTAATCTGCGCTGGCTTGAGGGTTTATGACTTTCTGACAGAAACTCTAAGAGCGCGTGTGTGCGTGTGTGTGTGTGTGTGTGTGTGTGTGACTGGTTTATGAGCGGATCTGTCACACAAAAAACCCAAAACTTTTTCAACCGTAGCAACACTAAATCTTTCCATTCTAGTGAAGTCAATAACTCCCACCAACACACTCCAGTGTCCGTGAGGGAAAAGTTTGCTGACACGCAGTAACTACCCTGACACCAACTGTTCGGTCAGTACTATTTGCGCCATCGCAGCTTTTTACTTTTCCGCTGTCACATTGCTAGCTCTCTCCGTCTCTCTCTCTCTCTCTCTCTTACCGATGCCACATTCTCCTGGCGTAAGAAAGTCGACGTGCACAAAAATCCATTACCAAACTCCCAGTGCGGATTTTAACACCAGGCGCACGGAGATCACGCAGGAGCAGTCTGATGACTTACACACACGTTTAAATCACGACTTTTACGCACAAAGAAGAATAACAAAAAAGAAACACGCAGCGGTGGAGCGCCCTTTTAGTTCCAGCCCGTATCTCGGAAGCCCGTATCCTGGCACACAACCGATGATTTGTTATTGATCAAGTGTGAAAGTGACGGCTTCCTATTGGGGGAGAGAGAGAGAAAAAAAGAAGAAAGTTGGAAGTTGACAGACTCGCATGCTGTCGCCATCCAAAGGGGGGCTGCCAGGCGCATGAGACTTACTGCACCGAGGCTTGTTAAGGAGAAAAAACAGAGAAATAGAGAATGAGGATTGTTAGTTAACGCGAGAGGAGGGATGGAGAGAGAGAGAGAGGGAGAGAGAGAGAGAGAGAGAGAGAGCAGAGGGGAGAGAGAGGGGGCGATGGGAGAGAGGGAGGGAGAGAAGGGAGAGAGAGCGAGAGAGAGAGAGAGCATGAATTTGGACAGGGCTGTGGTCGCCCAACATAAGCTTTGCCTTTTCCTTCGGTGACTACACCACGGGAGGAGGAGCGTAGCGTGCAGCGTAGTAGGCGTCAGGATCCTCAATTTCCAACTTAGCATCTTGGCAGGACATTTTCCCAAGCAAAAGCCCCCGTCCGACGGGTAAAAAAAAACTTCTGCACGGGCAATGAAAACGACGCTGCCACTCAGATAAGGAAGCGCAAGAAAAACACAACCAGACTCCACATCCGACGGGCACTGGCTGACTGGTTGACAGCGACCAAAATATTCCACCCCAAACCAAAGCCGAGTTTTATTTGGTCACTCTTACTTTTTTTTTTCGCCGTCATCAGTGTCATTTAGAGGAGACAGAACCGACAGCGGCTCTGCACAGACTCAGCTCTATGCGCTCCGACAGCAGCGCATGAGAAAATAAAGGGGGGAAAGTGCGCGAGTTAAGTGGCTTATTCTCTGCGGGCTTCAGCATGGCGTATCCTCAGGGCTACTTGTACCAGCCGTCCGCTTCTCTAGCCCTGTATTCGTGCCCTGCCTACAGCACCAGCGTTATATCTGGACCCAGGACCGAGGAACTTGGGAGATCCTCCTCGGGATCTGCTTTTGCGCCCTATGCCGGATCTACCGCGTTCACCAGCGCCTCTCCGGGCTACAACTCCCACTTGCCCTACAGTGCAGACGCGGCGGCAGCTGCCACATTCACCTCGTACGTGGTGAGTAAACTTAAGGTGATTATTTACTTTAATAGTTTAGGAAAAAAAAGTAAGGAAAGCAATCGCTCATTATGTCAACCGTGAGGTTCTCTACGCATTTGGAATCCAGTGACCATACAGAGAAATGTGCGTCATTGATGAAAGCACTGAGATAACATTACATAGGACCGAGTCTAATGTAGTTGCAAAAATTAAAATATATATATATATATATGATTTTCGTGTTCCCTTGTACGACTGTTTTATTGTTCTTATATTATTTAAATTTACAAAAATAGCGGACATTGTGTTGACGAAGGCTGCGAGCTGAATGCCACTCACGCACCGTGTCAAGATAATTCAGGTCACTTGTTTACTCGATTGTATACTTTATTTATTTGTGTCGCTTGGCAGTGTTGCATTTTGCAACTTTGAAAACAATAACCCCCCAAAATAAATATGAATAGTTTTTTTCATTGTCAGTGAATAATTCCCCGGCAGCGTTAGTGATTTAAAGAAGACTGTTTCTGCAGGCCTGTAGTTTCCACAAAGACTGATCTCAGATCAGACAGAGACTCAGAGAGGCCCCAGCGAGCATTCATATACAAGTTGTTAGAAAAAACAAACTGCGAACAAATAGTGTTGTATTGACTCGCGGACAGCTGCGTCCTGTTATCAGGTAAACATTAGCAATACTAAAAAAAAATAGATTGATTTAACAGCGATCAAACCAACTGTATAAACAATCGTGTCGAACTTGAGCTGGATTAAAGCTAGTGTATTGGTGTGTGTGTGCGCACGAAAAGGCGCGTTTTCGTGTGCGCGTATGTGTGTGTTGGTTTGAATCCTGTTTATTAGAAGAAGCGGCACTTAACTTTTTTCAAACTTTTTTTTTTCTTTCTTTTCTTTTGATGACAGAGCTCTCCCTATGACCACACCACGGGCATGGCCGGCTCTATAGGATACCACCCTTACGCAGCGCCATTGGGCACCTACCCTTACGGTGACCCGGCGTACCGCAAAAACGCAACCCGGGACGCCACAGCCACCCTGAAGGCCTGGCTCAACGAACACCGCAAAAATCCATATCCGACAAAGGGCGAGAAGATCATGCTGGCCATCATCACCAAAATGACCCTCACCCAGGTCTCCACCTGGTTCGCCAACGCCAGGAGGAGGTTAAAGAAGGAGAACAAGATGACCTGGACCCCCCGGAACCGCAGCGAGGACGAGGAGGAGGACGAGAATATTGACTTGGAGAAAAACGACGATGACGAGCCGAACAAACCCATAGACAAGGGGGAGTCCACAGACACAGAAGCAGGTCGGTGGTGCAGGCAGAAACAGTCTGTGTGTGTGTGTGTGTATGCGCGCGCGCTCGCGGTGTGTGTGTGTGTGTATGTCTGGGTGAGTGAGTGAGTGAGAGGAAAAAAATGAAAAAAAAACATCAATTTTTCATCGCAGTCGTTTCCACTCTGGGTGCAAAATTGATTGCTGCTTAATGGTGGTGTATTATTTATAATGGGACAATTGCTTTAAATAATAATCACCTTGAACTCCCCTCGTTTGACTTCTCGGGAGCAGAAATTGCTGGTGACGCACATTGTACAGCAGTCAATTTATCTTCAAGTGCATAATAAGAATACAGCTGGTGTACTGCACTGTACTGCCTTAAAATACTGTTATATTAACCGTGTAATTAGTGTTGAAAACGTACACACACACACCATTGTTTACATTTATAATTGTTTATATTTTATATAAAACAATTTTTTTTAATTTTTAACACATTGTTTTAAAGGAAACCATTTTAAGTGGCCTGATTTTCCTTTTTTTTTTTTTCATAGCTCTCACTCTATTTTTCCATGGTGTCCACTTGCCTTACATTACCTCAAACATGTGTTCCAGGGATTATTTGGCAGTAATTCCGTTCTTTATTTGTGCTTTAGATCATAAACTGTCGAACACCCAGGGGACATAGGCTGTGACAGATTTAAAGAGGAGGGCCATGGCAAAGATACGGATCCCCTTCTGAGCGACTCGGAGTTAAAAGAGCAGGAGGAGAGGACTACAGACCTGCTGCCGGACTCGGCCAAACCCACCACGTCGTCTCCCTCCACGTTGCCTCGGGGGAACCCGGCCGTTGCGCAACAAGACAGGCCCACAGATTTGAGCCACGCTCCGAGTTCGGTAACAAGCAACGTCACCTCTGTCATCCACTCGCCCCCCTCGGCCCCTAAGCCCAAACTGTGGTCACTGGCGGAGATCGCCACGTCCTCGGACAGGTGTAAAAGCAGCAGCAGCAGCAGCAGTAGCAGCGACGCGCCCCAGCCTTGTCCCGGAT